TAACTTTTCCTAGGGAAGGTACAAGTACACCTCCAGCCACCCCACATGGTCGGTCACCAAGGACCGACACCAAAATACAGGCTCATCACAGTCCATCGTGGTGAGCCCATGAGTTTATTGGGCCTTAGTATGGATGAGTTATTCACAGGAGCCGGGGTGACCCCAGACAGCTTCATCACCCTCAGATCCCAGCCCATCATGGGTGGTGTTCTCATTTAATTTAATCAACCTTTTACTTCTATATAGTCTTGAATCTCCCAAAATTGCTTGTAGTTGGGAGAAAGGAATGATAGCTGAATTTGAAGCTTAGGGTCTCTAGACCTTCTCTTCAGGAGTGTTAACAGTTCCATCGCCATTACCATAGACCTGGCCACCCCTGTGTTATACTTTAGTTGCTGGGGCTATGGCTCATTCCAGGATGGCATCTTGTTACCATCAGAGAAAAAAAAAAAAGTTCCAGACCACAGTGTTTTCATTTGTGTATGTATCCACATGTGTTCAGGTCCCTGAGGAGACCAGGAAGAGTTGATTGCCTGGTGCTGGAGTTCAGGCAGTGGTGAGCCACCTGACATGGTTGATGGGATTTGAACTAGGATTGGTTGAAGTGTAGCCAGTGCTCTTAACTGCTGAGTCATCTCTCCAGTCCCAGGTTGCATAGTCTTGACTTAAAAAAAAAAAAAAAATACTTGGGGCTGGAGTGATGGCTCAGAGGTTTAAGAACACTGGCTGCTCTTCCAAAGGTCCCTGGTTCAATTCCCAGCACCCACATGGCAGCTGACAGCTGTCTGAAACCTCACCCAGACATGTACTTGGACAAAATACTAATGTACATAAAATATAAATAAATTATTAATAAATAAATAAATACTTACACAGTAAAGGTTGTAGAGAAAAAGGTAAGCCTCACAGGAATGCCCCTTAGGCTTTTCTTCCAGTTCCCGTTCCACAAAGGACAAAAGTATTTCTGTATACACATTTGCTGCTTCCTTGTTCATACAGACTCTTATCATGGTTAGAGACCCCTGCAGTTTACCAGGTTTTTCATCTTACTCACGTTCCTGAAGTAAAAACACCGCTGGGAACTCTAGGGGTTTTTTGCCCAGTTTGAGGAAGAGGTCTCTGAGAAGTCAGTGGCGAGCTGGGAGGAGGAAGACTTAGGACATCTTCCATTCCTTCTCACGTTGTTACAGCAGAGAAACTCCATCTGGGCCTAGTGATTCATACCAGTCTGAGGCAGGAGGATGGCTGTGAATTTGAGGCCAGCTCGGGCTACATAATGAATTGTAGACAAGCCTTGGCTACACAGTGAGACCCTGTCTCAAAAAAGAAAGACAAAGGCCAACTGTAGACACAGTAGACTCTGTCAGTGTTCTCAGACGTTGGTCAGGCCACCTAGGATCTGCTGTGACATTTTATATAGACTCTTTTCTGAATAGACTTTTAGCAGAATCTCAGTGTCGGTCCCACTGAGGAGCTCAGGTTTCAGCTCTTCATTTATTTAGCACCTCTGTCACTAGACAGAGAGGTTCTACTGTTACTGTGTGCTAGGGACTGTTGTCAGCCAGAGGATAGGATAGCAGCCCCATGCTGCTAAAAACCTAGTTGAGGTTTTAAAAGGAGGCCTGAGTGTTGTGGGCATCTACAAAAAGGCAATTTCCTTCTATTAAAAACAGGTTTTATAGCCTGATAAGGTGGCGCACGCCTTTAATCCCAGAAACCGGGAGGCAGAGGCAGGAGGATCTCTGAGTTGAGGTCAGCCTGGTATACAGAGTGAGTTCTAGGACAGCCAGGGATACAAAGAGAAAGAGACAGAGAGGAGAGAGGGAGATGTAATTTGTATAATTGACAGTAAAATATTTTTTAAGGTTTATTTTATGTGTACAAATGTTTTGTCTTTATGTATTTATGTGTACCACAAGTGTGCTTGGTAGCCAGGCATTGGATCCCCTGAATGTGGAGTTATGGGTAGTTGTCCGCCAGATGTGGGTCCTGTGTAAGAACAACACATGCTCTTTCCTGCTGAGCCATTGATTCAGAGCGCCACCCCCCAACCCCAGTAAACTATTCTCATATACAGGGTTAGTATCGGTAAAAATGAAATGACTGAAATAGTCAGTTTTTATTTATAATTGTTGAAAATTTCGTACCAACTTATTTTTTGGTTGTTTTTTCCAGGCAATGTCTCCCTTCACTGCCCCATTCCCCAAGTTGAGGTTGGAAGCACACTCATGTCATGAATTGTCTCTCATAGACTTGTCACTTTTGGTCTGGTTCACAAGCCATAGGTCAGGAGCCAGATCCAGGCACTCATTCATGGCGTGCTAAGTTTTATTGGAATCCAGCCATGTCCATTCATTATATGGTGTCCATATAAGTGGTTTCTCTCTGTCTGCTTTGCAGATTTCATTAATGAAAGACACTAGCTAGTCTGCACAACGTAAGATATTTACTACTTGGCTTTTACACAAAGTTTTTTGTTTTTGGTTTTGGTTTTGGTTTTTCTCTGTGACTTTGGAGGCTGTCCTGGAACTAGCTCTTGTAGACTAGGCTGGTCTCGAACTCACAGAGATCCTCCTGCCTCTGCCTCCCGAGTGCTGGGATTAAAGGCATGCACCACCATCGCCCGCTGCTTTTACACAAAATTTGCTTGATGTTATAGGCCTAGAATTTGAGATTTACTATGTCAAAAACAAGCGTTAATTTTTATGATGTGTATGGGCGTTTTGCCTGCACGTATGTCTGTGTGCTCATTGCCACAGAGCCCAGAAAAGGGTGAAAGAGTCCCTGGGTCTGGAGTTGAGATGTTTGTGAGCTGTCATGTGTGTACCTAGATCCTCTTAAGAGCAGCAAGTGCTGACCCATCTCCATGCCCCTCTTTTGGTTGATCTTTCAGATAGGATCCCTTGTAGTTTAGGCTGGCCTCACATTTACTGTGTAGTGGAGGCCGACCTTGAACTCCTGATCCTCCTGGCTCTTCCTCCTAAGTGCTAAGATTATAGGCTTGCACTAACTACCATAGCTATCTTAACTCTTTTATATGAAATGTGATAATTAGAACAAGGCAAATGCCACTGAAAATTATTACATACCAAGATTGTCACTCAAAATTTGGTTTTATACTTACGTAGTTTGGTACTACACCCCCCCCAAAAGAAAAAAAAAAACCTGTGAATCATGTTTCAGGCTTTTTCTTGTAGACTTCAAAACCCCCAAAAGAAGAAAAAAACCTGTGAATCATGTTTCAGGCTTTTTCTTGTAGACTTCAAAACTTGACAAAAATCAGTTAACAGAAATTTTGTACTAGTTTTTATGACTTAGATATGACAAGTGTGATGACTTGAGTTCCATCCCTGGAACATACATTTGTAATCCCAGCACTGGTGAGGCAGAGGCAGGTGGGTCCCAGGGCTTGCTGGCCAGTCTGCCCTCCTTGGAGAGTTCAGGGCCAATGAGACTTAGAAAATAACAATGATGGATGACACATTTGCCTGTCCTCTGGCTCCACCTGCCAACACATATCCCACTCCCCCCCCAGCACACGCACACACACACACACACACACACACACACACACACACACACACACACCCACCCACACTGAGACTTAGAAAATAACAATGATTCCAGACACATTTGCCTGTCCTCTGGCTCCACCTGCCAACACATATCCCACTCCCCCCCCAGCACACGCGCACACACACACACACACACACACACACACACACACACACACACACACACACCCCTCCCCTAGCCCAGACCAAACATATAGAGCACAGAACAAAAACAAAACCTGAATAAATAATTCCCTCAGAATGAAATTTGGATGTGTTTAGAACTCCACACACAAGAACTTTTTGTTTGTTTGTTTTTGGATTGGATTTTTTTTGTTTGTTTGTTTCTGAGACAGGGTCTACTAGAACTCACTACGTAGACCAGGCTGGCCTCAGAACTCATAGAAATCTGCCTGCCTCTACCCCTCTACCTTCACAGAGTGCTAGAATTAAAGGTGTGCACCACCACGCCAGTCTTCTATAAGTAGTTTTGAAATTTGTAGATCTTTGTTAAAAAACTGTTGCCATATACATACTAATGACCAAGTTATCTGAAAATTCAGGTATAGAACACTGAAGGCTTTTCAGTTTTATTTGGCACAGTGTTTAAAATTTTCCCTAGCCCCCCAGGCTGGAGAGATGGCTCAGCAGTTAGGAATTTTTACTGCTTTTGCAGAAAGGACCACGGATTTGGTTACTAGCACCCACGTGGTAGCTCACAACTATCCATAGCCCCCAGGCCAGGGTGTCCAGTGTGGGCCAGGCACACATGGCACACATGCGTACTCAGCAGGCAAAACACCCATAATACATAAAAATAAATCTGAAAGAGAAGTTCCCCCTTTTTAAATGCCTTCTCTATGGGAGCTCTTGATGTCTGTAGGGACTTACTGAATTTTGGCACCTTCTTGGCCTTAAAAGGATTTAGGATTCCAGAAGTTTGTATAATTTTTAAAAGTTGCTGAAGGATTTGTTTAATTTCTTTGGTCTTTAAAATAAAGCAAACAGGGTCAGGAGAGATGGCTCCAGTTAAGAGCAAGGACTGTTCTTCTAGAAGACTTGAGTTCAATTCCCAGCACCCACATGGCAGCTCACAACTGTCTGTAACTCCATGACCTGAAACCTGCACAGAGATACTACACATCAGGCAAAACACCAATGCACATAAAATAAAATAAATATGTTCATTAAAAAAACAAAGCAAGCCAGGCATTGGTGGCCCACTCCTTTAATCCCAGCACTCGGGAGGCAGAGGCAGGTGGATCTCTGTGAGTTCGAGGCCAGCCTGGTCTACAGAGAGAATTCCAGGACAGGCTCCAAAGCTACACAGAGAAACCCTGTCTCAAAAAACCAAAAACAATAAATAAATAAATAAATAAATAAATAAATAAAATAAAAATATGTTAGATATCCAATGAAAGAAAGACTCACTCAAAACTCATTTTCTTAATTTTTCATTCATATAGATGAGTAATGAAAGGGGCTTTGAGAATGTAGAACTGGGAGTCATAGGAAAAAAGAAGAAAGTTCCAAGGAGGGTCATCCACTTTGTTAGTGGAGAAACCATGGAGGAGTACAGCACTGATGAGGATGAAGTCGACAGCCTTGAGAAGAAAGATGTGCTGCCCACCACTGACCCGGTATGTGTGGTGCTGAGGGCGGGCTTTGCTGGCTGAGTTTTTGCTCCTTGAACACTGAAGGGAAAGGACCATTTGAAGTTTAAGTCAGCTATCATCCATTACCATCTGGTAGAAAACATTATGTTTTACACAATGTGGATGGAAATATTTCCAGCATTTCAATAGCTTACACCAGTTCTGCTTATTTCTATCAGGGTTCTTTATCAGTGTGAATTTTAGTCCCATCAGTTCATGGAAAGGAGTGTTCTTCAAGGGAGCAAAGTCCATTATCCTGTGTTTACAGTGGGCACTTTTGAGAGGTTCTGGTTTAGATGCTGGTCATGGGGTGGTGGCTTCCATAAACTATATGGTAGTGGGGATATAGGCAATAAACAAATAAATGTTCTATGATTAACCAGGCTCTCAAAAGTACTATAAATAAAACCTAGAAACAAATAAAACCTAGAAACATATTAGAGAATTTAACATTTCTAAATTTAAAGCATGCTAACTTTTATAGGGGTTAGGTCAGTAAATTTTTGACTGTTAAAAAAAAAAAAAAACAATCCAGCGGGATGTTGGTGGCTCGATCTCTGTGAGTTCGAGACCAGCCTGGTCTATAAGAGCTAGTTCCAGGACAGCTTTCAAAGCCACAGAGAAACCCTGCCTCGAAAAACCAAAAAAAAACCAATCCTAGCTAGATGGTGGTGGCAGAGGCAGGTGCATTTCTGTGAGTTTGAGACCATCCTGGTCTACAGAGCTCATTCCATGACAGGCAAGGCTACACAAAGAAACCCTGTCTCAAATCTCCCAACCCCTCCCCAAATTCCAAATTCTCTAGTACATTAGATATTTAAAGGATTGTACAATATATTCAGGGTAGTCAGACATGTTGAATATCAGTGGTAATCCATATAGTGGAAGCATATTTGGATAAATGTTTTCTTTTTCTTTTTAAAGTACTCTGAAGGGATTTAGTTATCTTTTAAAATGTTTGTATATGATCATGTTTTTAAAATAAATAAATAAATAAATAAATAAATAAATAAAATAAAAATATCTCTGTGAGTTCAAGGCCAGCCTGGTCTACAGAGAGAATTCCAGGACAGGCTCCAAAGCTACACAGAGAAACCCTGTCTCAAAAAGCCAAAAAAAAAAAAAAAAAAAAAAAAAAGAGCTTGGTTGAGCCCCCTGTTTACATGCCACACAAATATACCTGTTTAAAGCAATTAGCAGTTAGCATATTCATCACAGATAGGCACAGCCACAGCCACAATCAGTTTTAGCACATTATGTCATCCTGAAAAGCTTTAGTTCTCTTTCTACCCTCCAGGTCCTTCCTCATTCCTGGCCACCGCTAATCTTTCTGTCCATACATAGGGTTCCCTGTCATGAACAGATGTGTGTTCTTTCTCTCTTCCTCCATTTAACTTATGTTTTCAAGGTTCATTCATGTTATAGCATGTGTTGGTACTTTGATCCTTTATATAATGTTATTATATAATATCCAAATAATACTTTATTGTGTGAATATACTGCATTTTTTCATTCCTTTGTCAGTTACTGGCAACTCTGGTGTTTATACCATTCAGGTCAGATGAATACAGGCTTTTGTGTCACTGTGTGTTTTTTATGTTCTAGGAGTGGAGTTGTAACTGTTTAAACATTTGAGGAACTTTGTCTAGTCACTTTTCATGGTGGCTGCACCATTTTTCATTCTTTTTAAAATTTTCTTTTATTATGTGAATAGTGTCCTGTCTGCATGTATGACTGCACACCAGAAGAGGGCACCAGATCCCCCTATCGATGGTTGTGAGCCATCGTGTGGTTGTTGGGAATTGGACTTAGTCCTCTTGAAGAGCAGCCAGTGCTCTTAACTGCTGAGCCATCTCTCCAGCCCCTTAATTTTTTTTTTTTAACTTTTATTTTTGTTTTGTGTGTCTGTGTGTTTTTCCTACTTGCATGTATGTCCATGTACCACCATGTGTATGCACTGCCTGCAAAGGCCAGAAAAAAGGTGTGCACCTCCACACTTGGCTAGAGATTTAATTCTTATGTTTATTTTTAAGTTTTATAGTACCAGCATGGGCATGGAAAGTCCCAAGTTCAAGGCCAGCTTAGGAGCCATAGGGAGTTCCAGGCCAGGTTAGGCTACTTTATGAAACCTTTTGTGCATAGTTTGTATATTCAGGTCTTTGGTTGTTTTTGTTTTGAGACAACCTATAGCCCAGGCTTGTCCAGAATTCAAGGAGACCCTCCTGCTTTAGCCTCTTAATTGCTGAGATGACAGGTGTGCTCACAGCCACCTGTTTTGAGTTAGTTTTCTGTATGATATAGGTGAGGTTCAGACTTAATGCTTTGCTATATGATTTTTCAGACTTCACAGTATAACTTGAAAAGTCTACTATCTCCCTTTGAGTAGTGTCTTGGTTTTCCATTGCTGTCAAGAGACACCATGACCACAGCAACTCTTATAAAGGAAAGCATTCAGTCGAGGGCTTGCTTTTAGTTTCAGAGGTTTAGTCCTTTACCATCGTAGTGGCACACAGGCAGACTTGGTGCTGGAGAATTAGCTGAGAGCTACATTCTGATCTGTTGGCAGGCACATACGCATACATGCATGCTCGCACAGGACTTTTTGAAACCTCAAAGCTCACTTCCAGTGACACACTACCTCCATCAAGGCCACACCTCCCAATCCTTTAAAATAGTGCCACTCCCTGGTGACCAAGCATTGAAATTTATGAGCCTATGTGGGGGTTGTTCTCATTCACACCACCACATGTGGTCTTGGTGCCATTGAGTATGGTTTTATTCTGGACTTACGTCCCTTCACCAGGTCTGTGACTCTGTTCCTGGGCCTATACGTTTCCTTGGCTCTCGTCTATGGAACACTGAGCACAGGTGTTCTCTGCCTGCTGGAGATTTTGAAGCTGAAAAATGTGACTCCTGGGATTGTTGTGTTTTCCTCTTTTCTAGATTGTTTTGGCTGTTTTAGGTCTCTTAAAATACTGTGCGGATTTTAGAATTAGTTTGTCAATCTCTGAAGAGAAGGCAGTGGAGATCATGTTGAATCTATAGGTCTGTTTAGGGCAGTGGTTCTCAACCTATAGGTTTCCACCCCCACAAGACTCACATATCATATATATATATATATATATATATATATATATATATTCATAACAGTAGAAAAATTACAGTTATGGAGTAGCAATGAAATAACTCAGTGGTTGGGGTCACAACATGAGGAGCTGCGTTAAAGGGTCACAGCATTAGGGAGGTTGAGAACTACTGATTTAGGGGGTATGGCCATATTACCAACCACAGAGTTGTTTTAGAATCAAAGTCTTGAGAGGGACGACAAGAGACACCTTTTTGGAGGAAAAGAAAATTTGGGGTTTTACCTATAAACTAAAAGCCTTGAAGACCCACAGTGCAGTCCCAGATGGATGTTTCTGAGTTGGGGGTGGTGGCAGTGATGCTGGGAGTGGTGACATGGCTCAGGGGAGACCCTTGAGCCATCTGTGATTTTGGCTCCGCAACATCCATGTCCAAATAGCAGGCCGGATAAGTTCCTTCTGTGTAACTGTGGGTGATGGGGGATGTCCTTCTGTATATGTGTTTCTCTTATTGGTTGATGAATAAAACACTGTTTAGCCAGTAGAGGCAGGAAGATAGGCGGGTGTTGCTGTTTTTTTTCTTTCCAGGCTGATCCCACTGCCCTTCTGCCCCAAATAAACACACAGACATGCTATGTTAGTTATAAAACTGTTGGCAAATGGCTAGGGCTTCTTATTCAGCAGCTCTGTCTTAACTATAAACCCATTTCTATAAATCTGTGTATTTCTACATGGCCTTAACTTAACAGAGAACGCCTGGCATATTCTATCCTTCCCGTCTCTACATGACATGGTTTTCTGGCACCTCTCTCTCCCCAGCATTCTCCTTGTCTCCTAGCTCTGCCCATCTTCCTGCCTCTACTGGCTATTGGCCGAACAATTTAATAATTCATATAAGTGTGTGCTTATTTGGGGCAAAGTGGCTGTGGCTGGAAAGAAAAACTCCA